GAGAGAGAGAGAGAGAGAGAGAGAGAGAGAGAGAGAGAGAGAGAGAGAGAGAGAGATCTGGAACTGCTGCAGATGTTTGACTTGAAGAAACTTTGAATCGGGTGTTGAACCGCTGCTCTTAAATTGTGTGCCCTTTATCTGTTTTATCTTTCTTCTTCTTCTTCTTCTTCTTCTTCTTCTTTACCCTTTTCTTATTTGCATTCTCTCCACCTCATACTGCGTCTACCCCGTCTTCCATGAGGTATGTATGCTGCTGCTTACAGGCCTGCACACCCATGAAATGCACCCTGCACCATAAAACCCCTCCCCCCCAGCCCCACCCCCACCCCAACCCCCCCCCCCCCCCCCCCCCCACCCAAAAAGAAATTCCTGACTGTCAAGTTTTATTGCGGATTCCGACAGATCTCAAAGAGCGCAGTCGGATGCCGCAATCAAAAAAAATAAAATAAAAAAATTGGGCATTTTTTGGGGGCATCCGGTTTTGCCGGTTCACCCCCCCTGGACCGGTCCGGCCCCGGTTGGACTGGGGCAGGTGATCCGGCCGGTTGCTGGCCCAGCCTTGCTTTCGGCACAAATTTGCGGCATGATTTCCTCCGTTTGCTGTTTTCCAGACCGCGGACGATGTGAAAACGTCCACAGGCGATCTTCCAGGCCACGAAATGCGGGCTGTGGGGTCCCGGAATACGGTTTTTGGAAGACATTTCGGGCTTTCTATAGTCTTTTCCGCGAGGTGTTGGGTCCCGGAAACACTTCCGTGGCAAACTTTTTCCTTTCCGCGTTCCTGTGGGGTCTGACCCTTAGTAGAAAAAGTCCTAGTGTGATTATGCCCTGAAGTCGGAGGCGTACCCTTCCCGTCAGACCATACCCTTCCCGTGAGAGGCGGGGAGGGCACAATTCAGAAGCTCAGCCAATTTCCATTGCATGCATACTCAGGCTAGCACTTCCCTGCATGTATGTGATGAATCTGACTGCGATCACAAACCAGAGCTTAGTAAGAAAAGTCCTAGTCTGAGCAGGCCTTATTGGAGTCAGGGCCCTTTCCTTCCCTGTGTGAGGGCATACTCACACTAGCACGTATGTGATTTTGCGAAAATGCGGCACCTGCGGGTCACACTGCTCACCTGGTTCCTTCCCAAAACAGAAGCAACACGAAAGCGACCTGGTATTCAAATGCGGAAATACGTTGTGTGCAGTCACACAGCCCAGCATGCAAATATCTGTCCCTTTTTTTTTTTTTTTTTTTTTTTTTCTGATGATATTCTGCCAGCCAAAGGCAAACGGGCAATTGATTTCCTGTAGATTTTTTATTATTATTATTTGAAATCGAAATGGTAAAAGGGAAATCGGCATTTGCAGGGAACTCCAGAGGTCCCTGCAAAATATGTGAACCCGCGGCTCCCCAGGCCGCTGACAAATACGTGCGAGGGTTTTACCCCTCGGCATACCTGCATAAGGCCCTGCAGCAGGCACGTGCCCGCCCTAAGTGAAGGCGTCCCTCCTGAATCTCAAGGTGCCCTGAAGTCGTCAATTTTTGCAAATCTTGGTGGGCGCCAGACAGTTGCCATGCGCCAGTTGGTTACATCTGTCCTGCTCGTGAGAATCGGAAATATTCGTGAGGCTCTTCCAGCAATGTGGTCGAAGCAGGGAACACCGCACGTTTGTGCCTGGGTGGTTGGGCAGGCCTAACCAATCTGAAGGAGCCTGGGGGCAGACACTTTGGTCGAGACTGAAGCTACTGGAAGTGCGGCCTCACGTGGAAAAGGAGTGAACACGCCCCACAACTTTCCATATAGGAAAGGGCTGGGCTACGGGGTGAGCAGTCCGGCACTCGCAAATGCATGCAGCAGCGCTGCTGGAGCGAGCGCTCGGGGGCTGCTTGCTGCGCTAGCGGGAGTGTCCAGGCGCAGCCTGGGCGTCGGGTGGAGGGCGCTGCAATAAGGCAGCGCCATAACCGAGCCCCCATATCCGGGCTCAAGCTTGGTTAGTCAGCGGGAGGTGGCGGTGGTCTTCGTGTATGAGAAGGAAGACGTAGGTAGAGAAGACAAGGGAGAGAGAAAGCGAGTTGTGGATGATGATGTGAGGGCACGTACCTGGTCATGGCGATGGTCTTCAGGATCGGCATCTTCATGTACATTGGTTGCTGCTGCTGACGTCAACAGGTTGCATTGTCAATTTGTAGGCTGGTAGTAGCTGTGTGATTGTAGTCTGGGCGCTGAGCGCCAAGTAGTAGGAAGGGCTCAGGATTCATATATTGGTGGCGAGAGTATGCTCTCATTGACATTCGGATTCGGTGCTTTGGTTCTTCGTTGGTGGAATATCGGTGCATTCCTTCTTTCTGAACAGCATTGGACTTTCTGGCTTTCAATGTGACTTTGCACTCTGGATTTCTGTCAATTGGCTATCACTCATTTTCCTTGCAATTTGGCATGAGAGCTGGTTCGAGTCGCTCCGCTGGCTCCTTCGCAATAGTTGTTTGGTGCTTCGCTGGATATAATGGGGCAGTCATAACGTTAAACTTTGTGCATTGGTGTGTTTGCGGCCCAGTGTCGTGTGGGCGCGCCAGGAAGGCTGTGTGGTGACATAGGGGTGCACACTGGGTGATGAGAGCTTGCTGACGTGGCATTTAAGCTGAGGTGTGGAACTGCATTGTATTGTGGGTTGTGCCGAGGCATCGACCGGTCATCATAAATGCACGTCAGGTTACTGGTGAGAAATCTGCTGTTGGAGGCATCGTTATGAGGTACGTTGCTCCTTGCCTTGTCTACCCTCTTTGTTGCTTCTTACGGTGAGGAAGTGAGTTCTGTCTTGAGTCTTCTCATTGTGAGTGTCGCGAGCACTCAACCTTGAGAGTTGACATTCTTCCTGGGGAGCAAGCTGGTGGGAGATGGGCGTTGCCTCTAAAGGGCCCTGGATGACGCTCTCGGGTCACGATCACCACGCGAACCCGCTGGGACTAGCTCACGCATGCTTCGCCGCTTGTCCTTTGGTCTGCTTCCTTTGCTGTAGAGGTCATGTCGGTCAGGCCAGCCCTATGAGGAGAGACAAGTTCGCAGCCCGTTGGAACATTTTTCGTTGTTGTTCGTTATACGGTCGTTGGAAGGCTGGAAAAACAAGGCACAGCAGTTTAGGGGCTGATGGCATCTTATTTGAAACTGCAGGACCGGTAGCTGCCTGTGGGACCGCAGGGGTTTTGGTCCAGGACTGCACAGGACCGATAGCTGCGCGTAGGAGGCCGAGGAGGCCGCAGTCCTTTTTCGAAATGGAAACGGTGCGGGTCCACTTTTCTCGAATAGCAGAGTTCCTAGAATAGGAAACGTACACATTGTATTTGAATACAACCTGTACCCTTCCTATTCGGATTTCGAAAAGAAAAAACTCTTGTATTCCGATAAAATTACTT